TACATGTGCAGTTGAATGTCACCGACTGGTTTTACTTCATGTCTCTTTCGTACGGTGTCCAGCCGCATGCAAACATATGGGATATTTTATGGTAGGAATTTTTTCATACACTCTTTAATAATAATATTTGAAATAACAATAACAGCGTTAGCTCGTCTTCATATTACAGCTAGGGACAGAAATATTTCATCTCATCTTATCTATAATATTTTAAAAAAGTCTTGGATTGTGTTCTTTCCAACAACATGTATTTATTTACGCGAGACCCGCGAGCACGACATTGACTTAGAACTGTACATCAACACAATTAAATTTTAACAAAGATCAACAGTAATTATGATACGTAAATATTCCAAATAATAATATATAATATTGTCGTAATAAAAATATTATACTCATATAACAAAGTGAATATAATAATCAAAAAAGACAAATAAATCTAAAAGCGTACTTTCTTATCTTCAGTTGAACTCTTTAAAAACGAAAGTATAAAAAATATCCTATTGAGGGCAGTTTATCAAAGGCTGCGTCGCAGTATAGGAATGTACTCTCTATTTTGTTGGTGGTGTTCGTGAAAGTGGTACAGTTATTTTGGATTATACAGCAGATTGTCATGATTATACATTGAAGACACAACTTTACAATATCGAGAAAGATTTTGTGATACTGTACCCTGGGGATTGATCGCGACAGACGAGTATTACACGATGGGAATCAGGGTCAAGGTCAAATGATTTGTGACAATTCACTGGTACAACTCTGGCTCTGGAATAAGTCGTGAAGCAAGGACACTATTATTGTGTAGTAATAATGGACAAAGACCACCATCGCCTCCATATTGTTGAGAATTGCAGTTTTGTTGTGAGTCAATTATACGTAAAATCATGGAGGTATTAAAAGAGATCCAGTTTAATACCCCTGTGATTTTTGATAATTTATTTAACCATGGAGCTAAAAAAAGAAGAGTAAATTTATTTTAATCCTACTTTAATCTTTTAATCCTATTTTGGTTTGTTTTGACCTAGTTATTCTTCTCTACACCCTAGCCGTTCACCTCAGTGTTTGTCGGCATGGATGTGTAGAGGGAAAGAGGGAGGGAACTTGTTATGATTCGAAATGTGGCCATGACGAAGTCATCGCTCTCGAAGTTTTCGAACCTCAAGACGAAAACAGAAATGTAAGCAACATGAAAAATAGACTACTTTTTGCCAAGATGTGAGGAGTTTCGCCGTTTTCGATACACGTATACAAAAGTCACCGATAAACACACGTGTTGTTTTCGTTTTTTTTTTATTATTAATTTCTGGTCTTTTAATGAACAAGTCAATTGTTTATAAATTGTTCGCCGCCATTTTCGACTACCTGTTGTTTAGACTTGCTTGTCGGGAATCCAATATTGACGTCCGGTAATCTCCCGACCCGTTAAGTATTACTAAGTGGGCAAATAGTCGACAGTAGTCATGGTAACATCAATGGTAATTCACTCTCTCTTTTCTTACCTCCAGAATTTAATTGTTTACTATTTACTCAGAAACACTTAGCACATTCCATAGAGGAACAGTATACCAGTAATGGTTCCAAAAGAAAAAAAATATGACAAAAAAGCATAGAACAGGCTGCTTGGGCTTTGTTATCATTAGGGAAATTTATGTACATTTTAAGTATACAAAAAATATAGTTTAATATATTTGTATAATTTGTGTATACAAATTGTACAATCAAATATTTTTATTTTGTTTTAATGTACAATTTTTGTATACATAAAATGTACAGCATTTCTAAGAAGTATACTTTTTGTACAGATTTTGTAAACAATCACTATACTATTATGATGCTCAATTTGGTAAGGGTGAAGAAGCTTTTATTTTTTTTACTGTCAAAAGTTCTAGTCAACGCGAACAGTTCTTTGAAATGGTTTAATTTATATTGATGACATTCCATTAAAAAAAATGAAATTCATTCAGAATATGAATAATAATTTTTGCTCAAAGATTTATGATTTGGCCAATTCTTAAATTAATATTGAAGACAATTTAACTCTAATCTTGTCATGTTTTATACTTTAAATTATGTGCATATTTGGCAGAGACTTATTCATCAATCTGCCAAGTTTCATCGATATCTGCTGCAGAATTTCTGAGAAAATGTTAGAGACGTCACAGACGGAAAATTGAAATAAGAATTAATAGTCCGCCTTTCAGGCTGCACCTGAAATGAGGACTAAAAATGTATATTTATCATGATTGTAATGACCACAGCTTTATGCCCTTCACTGTATAAAATTAAATTCAGTTTCTTTGCCAGGGATTGATTTTTCATATAGCCGCTGTCTTTGCTGTTTATAAATAGGACAAGACATAATAAGTGGAAGTCATCTTTCAATTCCACAATGGTTGCAAAATCAAATCTGCTGAATTTGTTCATGTATTCAAAATATCTGTAGCTTATAAATTTAATCTAGTCGACTGAATGTTTTGTATTTTTCTTGTCTCTAATTTCTGTTTTCAAGTATATAACCTAACCCTTACCTTAATCCTCAATTAAATTAATTGGCTAAATATTAAAATCTAAAATCCCTAGGGATTGCCTTTCAGTATTGTGTTTCTTCGAACTAAATTCCTTGAAATCCAATGATCGACATACTAGTTTCTGAAAAGTATAATTTTAAAATAGATATTTTTCAAACTGACATCCTGGTTCATGATGATAAAGGTGGGCATTCGTCACTTGTCTTATAACTCCCATTTATGTCAAGTTACGTAAAATAACGTGTGATAAGGGAAACACTTGTAAAACTTATACTGACCCTCTTAAAAGCATGTTACTTTATAAAGTTTCCTTGTTGACACAGTTTAAATGCTTGCTGATGACCTGAAACGAGGCAATTGTTTGGCAGTCAACTGCCATCGTCAATGATCATTAACAATGGTTAACCATAATCAATCTACCATGTACAACTATGGCAAATCACGGTCGATCATGGTCGACCTCAACTAGTTTTAATAATGTGCGTGTATGGAAAATATGGGCAGAAACTAGGTTGGGTGCTCAATTGAAATAAAATGTGATGTTTTATATATTTAATTCATCACTCATAAAGGGAAGTATGAACTTACTTAGAATGTTTCATAAGGAGCGTTGTGTTTGATAGTCATTATTGAACACAGTTATGCATCAGTCAACATAACGCAATTGTCTATAGTTAACTATGGTAGTTAACGATAGTTGGTCAAGATTTGGGTCATTCACTTAACCCAAGAATAGTTACAAAAGCCCAATTCTTTGAAAAAAATAAATAAATAAACAATTTTGTAACACTTTTAAAACAAAACAACTTGATAATTTTTTGCTCTTGTTTAAAAGGTTGAACAACTATAAACACCAAATATTTTCATATATTTTGTCAACAATTTTGATTACTGTAAAATACTTTATTTTCACTGGAATACATTTTCGCTGAAAAGACTTTTCGGGTGTTTTGTATGGAATTTATTTTCACTGATTTTTGACGAGTTTAATGTAAAATGCAAAAGATATATTCGCTGGATTTTATTTTCACTGAATCATTCTTTCAGTGAAAATAGCGAAAATTAATATCAAGCGAAAATAAAGTATTTTACAGTAGTACTTCTGAGAAATGAAAAATTAGGCTCGTTTTGTGAAATTAACAAAGAAATTACTTCAACTATTTGGCAGGAAATATGATGCTGTTCAAATAGGGTAATAGGAAGTGTTTGAACAACTGTGTTATAATAATGTTTATTGACTTTAAACAAACCAAGAAATACTTTGAGATATTTAAGAGGATACTGCAAAGTATGCACGAAGGCAGTACTGTGATTGTATTAGCTGATGCATAAAAAAGGTCAATTCCACCTTGTACTGCCCTGAGTGCGGTATAACCTTATTATTATACATCTTTCTCATGCTTCACCACCATTTTTAAGCCCCTTTTATGCTGTTGTAGTATGTTCAGCTGTTCACAAATTCCCAAACTGTTTTTGTCTTAATCTGACAACAGGCAAAAAAACAGATTAAATTGGATTGTGAGTGCACCCAACTTGACCCAAGGTATAGAATTCAACACTGCAATGGTGGAATTGTAGAATATCCAGCTAAAAATAATTAATCGCTTCATTAGATATTTGTATGGGATATGGGCTAAAATAAAAACATTTGTTAACAGAAATAAGATTGTGCACTGGGAATGAAGACATTTACACTGCTGATCATAAGAACCAGATACTAGTATTGTAAAATTTACTCACCAAGATCTATTATTAGAAAGTGCAGTAACCCAATATGTTTCAAATTTTTCCTCCAAATTTAGCTCAGATCAATCACTACTGTGAAACCATTTATTTTCACTGACATTTAATTTCACTATTATGATGTTTTGAGCATAATAACTGTCTTTCATGAATTTGTCACAGAAACAATGAGTTTATTATTAATTTACATGTTCACGTAGATTTAATTTAGTGGATTTTAATTATCAGAGAAAATAGCGAAACCCAATGAATAATTAATGAATTTACAGTATTTGGCAACTTTATGCAATTCATATTATAATATTCTATAAGGAATTCTGAGATTATTACAGGATATGTAGTATTTATTGAGAAATATTAAAATGACCTTTATATTGTTCTTATTTTTTTGCACCAAATTTGTATTAAATATTTATATCTAAACGCATAGAACCAGGAACAGCCACTGGTGGCACTGTATAAAATCAAAACCTATTAAGGCTTGCCAATGCTAACCCTGACAAACATTGTAGAGAGTGCAGACCAGTTTAGTATGATAGAAAGGCTGTACATTTTTCAAATAACCACAATAGAGAGAGTAAAGACCAAATATATATGATTCTGGCATTTCATAATAAATGCTTTCTATTAATAATTGCACTATAAAATAATATTCATGAGATATGTCTACGTCAGAACCTCTGTAAAGTTATTGAATTTGTTTTATGCAACGTAACGTAAACCTCATTGATGGTGCTGAATGTTGTGTTTGTATTCGAAGCCCACACGTAAGCGACACTACCAGATATATACATCAACTACATCAAGCCACACCAACCCAGCGATTGCAAAAGATTTGTACACACTCCCACCGTGTCATACGCTGTAACAAATCTGGTTTCTCCATAACACTGGATTCTCAATGGGCAAGGTTGTAATAGTTATGCTATGTTTATTTTTGCAGTTGCGCATTTGAAAGCAAGACAATGAATGGTGTAAACACATCTGAGCAGAGTGAAGTACATCAAGGTGGTAACCATGGTAACTGCTGTAGCCATGGTAATTATCACTCCTGGAAAACTGAAATTATCCAATTATTTAAGCTAGGCTGGCCTACAGTAAGTATAGCTGTAATGTTCTTAAAGAATAATTATGAGACAGTTTATCTGAGGGAAAGGACTGGTTTGTTTATTTAACCAACTGATGACTGAACCCTGGTTTCTAGGTGCTACTGAGCATGCCCACATAATTATTCACAAGACAAGACTAGGTCTAAGGTCACAATAATACAAAGTAATACAAAGTAAAATAATACAAAGTAAAATACTACAATAGCTATATTTTTTGGACAATTCAGAATTATTTGCATTTATTCATCCTTTTTTGTTTTTTTTTACTATCAGTGATAACAATGATGACAACTTGCTATTTCTTTCAGGTTCTATTTACACTTGCCACTGGCGCTCTGGCCACGATTAACCTGATGTTTTGTGGTCGAGTGGATAAAGAAACTCTGGCTGGTGCTGCATTAGGTTTATCAGTGAGTTTTGTGTAGTATTAATTGTTGGCTATGAATGCTTTGAATGAATTATGCTGAATTATGCTTTCAATAATTATACAGCATGGTTATATGTCTTATACGTCATTTATATTTTCTATAACTTTTAATCATTATACCATTTTGTTCTGTTAGTTGTACATGTACTGTAGACTACTTTATTTTAGCTGAAAAGATTTTTTGAGTGTTTTTTATGGAATTTATTTTTGCTGATTTTTGACAAGTTGAATGTAAAAAAAGGGGACAAATGCATATTCACTGGATTTTATTTTTACTGAATCATTCCTTCAGCGAAAATTAATTCATTTTACAGTACTTAAGTAATATCTCTGCTGGTTATTGCGATCATGTTCTTTTGAATGTTTCTTAAAAAAAAACACTGCATGCATTTTTAAAACCACTGTGGTTTTTTAAAATCACAGCAAAACATTCTTTAGGCTATATGAAATTAGTGTTTTGGAATTATCGGTACTCAAATTGTGTGCCATACATCAGGGGATGTAACTTTCAAATTTCACCAGCATTACCAGAAAGTTACCAACACTGCATTATAGCACAGTGGTTGTCGCGCAGCGCGTGTTCGAATTTCATGTAAATAAACAATGTATTTTACATGTGTTGTATACGTTGCTATGAGTCCCATATCGAACAGGATACGGCGTGACGACTGTCGCCCTTTAAAGTTTATTTTCACATAATTCCACCAAAGTTAGCAAACAGTCGCTTTATTTAGCACTAGACAGTGACAATAATTTAGTCAGTGTTTCTTTGGTTATAATTTTCATCAAGAGTTGTGTAGTCAGATTTATATCAGAATGGGAATCTAAAAAAAATTGCATTATAATAATTTTAATTGAAGCAGACTGTGAAAGTATTTTTACCAGACCTCTGGGTATTTAATTTTTACCAGCTCGACTTGAAAGTTATCCATCTTGGGCAGTAAATTTAATCATTGATATAATGCAGATCTATTGTAGATGTGATTCAAATTCAGTAAATACACTCTGCAATATATCAGGAAATCTATAATCTGGCATCATCACACACATATATTCGTTTGAGTTTAAAGCGAGGTGAGGGGGGTGTCACCTGCGAATGTGTCAGATGGCCATAGCGTGTCATTGTTTACAAACAAGCATCTACCAATGAGCCTTTGTGTTTTTAGCGTGTGTTGTTATCGTCGCTTGGGATTCAATCCCCACGTGTGCGCGCAGGTGACAACCCTCCTGCTTTAATATCACTTGGAATGTCTGGGCATTATATGATAATTAGTGAATGTAGTTTTGATACTTGCATTTCAGTTCAGTAATGTTACTGGGGTTTGTGTTGCACATGGTTTTGGATCAGCTTGCGATACTCTGTTTTCTCAGGTAAGTTGTAATTATTAACTGAATGATCTTCACACTATTAACTCGAATGGTATGTGTGTGATATAATTATATATAATCTCCCAGTGTTTCTAATGAGTGTGATGTCATCACAGACTACTGGCTCCCCGTATAGTGTCTATATGAGGAGTTGCGAGTCCAAGATGACATCACAAGAGTGAGGATTCCCGAGAGGATTATTTTAATTATTATATACATACGTCCTGCTCATCTGAATTTACGTTCGAGTGCATTGTAGAGCAAAGGTATTGTCTGAGACGTGAAGTGTCAAGGACAATACTGTAGGGTACACTGAACTAGAACGTAAATTCTAGTATTTTGTGTGTTACCTTATTCTTATATGCCTTTTCTGGACTAAAACGATAAAAAAACAGAACATTCTAAATTTGCATTTGTACAGTGTTGGGTTTGCGCCTGACTACCACTGGAGCAAGGCTTAATTAGGCTTCACCATCCTGCACACTGCTTGTAGTCAGCTGTTTCAGTCTCACTCAGAGTTTCTACATTGTATGTATTCGGACATGATGGTCAGGATAACTGTCACTTAGAACTTTATTGTTCTATTGTAGAACTTTTGAAGATTTTCATTTATATAAAAGGACAAGTGGTTATATGTCCACAAATTCTGTCAAGGCGGCAGTATAATCCCGGCTGCTAATCTGTAACGTTGATTGCATCTTTTGGTCGTTACTACATGTTGTAATACTTTCTGAAGATATTCGTAACGTGACTTCACGAATACATTTGCTAGACAGTTTTTATAGTTGTTATGAAGACATAATAGAGTGGTTATGACCTATCTCATGGTTCGATCACGTAAGAAACGAGTGCTCAAAATTAACATCAGTGAAGTACGCATATATTATGCAAATTTTTATCTCACTGACAGCACCTAATGGCAAACTATTTCTGAATGCAAAAACTTTATTTTAGCTGACTTCTTTCCATCGTCTTAAAAAAATAATGTACACTAATTAGGTTATTAACAAAATACTGGAATTTAGGTTCTCGTTCATTGTATGCTTTGGCACTACAATTATTTGCTTTGTGTTTTCATTGATCAGATGGAGTGGTCACGGTTTAAACAGAGTACAATAACAAACATTTTTGTAGTGCTCAGCACTGTAGGTAGACTGGCACAGTCTGGGCGATTTATTTCTTTTTAAATTAAATAAAAAATTAACGAAATGGAGGTGTTAACGCAAAATCCCCTGTAACGCGAAATCATGTGGTGGTTTCGCTTTCACTCCACCTTTCGCAAAACTATTTTTTCCATTTTTTTTTTAAAAATCACCACAGCTGGGCCAGTCTACACCCTAGGTGTATAATATAAATATTCTGAAGTGTTTGCAAGTGAAATATGTGACGTGGACCTTTTTTGGCATGTGTGATTTTCTTCCAGGATTTAGCATGTACAAACTGCCAATGTCTGATTGTGAATAAGGGAAACCTGCTTATAGACATCTAATATGTATTGTTATTGATAACTGTTTATTTCAGCTTTAACACATCACCTTTTGTGGAGAACTTCAGCAGGACATGTGTTAGTATAATACATTTGTCTTTGTCTTTGTAGACCTTTGGCAGTGAAAATAAGAAGTATGTTGGAGTTGTACTGCAAAGAAGTTTACTTATTATGGGTATTGGATGTATATTAATCTGGGTGCTTTATGTTAATGTGGAATATATATTGATTGGTTTTCAAATTGATAGGGAAGTAGCCAGGTTAGTATGTTGGTAGTGTACTCCGAAGAATTTTACTTATTGTTGGTGTTCCTTGTTAATTATTACCGTAGTTGTCCAAGTATAAACCCCTCCGGGAAACTGGCAATTTGGGTGGAAAATGGGGGGGGGGGGGGCTTATAAACAAATAAAAGTTAAAACTTCTCCCAAGCAGGGGGTTATAATCGGATAACTGACTTGTAAATTTATGTGGGGGGGGGGAGTATACTCGAGCAGGGGTTTATACTCGAACAACTACGGTATTAGTCGCTGTTTGGACGAATTTCGAAAATGGAAACCTATAAAGATTTACACACATATGTGCACAACCTCATTCAAGATGTCTAAATGGCAGCTATTTTAAGTTAAAAATGCATTAAAACAAAACATTTCTGGCATTCTGGAACCAGATCTCATCCTGCATGGACAGATTTCATACATAAATATGAAATGGCTGACTGATGACTAGTTTGCTTAAAAAATGCTGTTTTGGAACCATATTTTTGACATGCCTATTTGAAATCATACTTTACACATGCAAGTACATCTTGTTACCCACATTGATGTATGCATAAATTTCAAGTTGTCTGATTCTTTTCAGTCAGGGACTGTGACTTGATAATCAAGTGTCTTTTTGTCAATGTGGAATATTGATGTTGTTTTCAAATTGACAGAAAAATAGTTAAAATAGTTAAAGCGCAGTGATCGTCTCGCAGTGTGTGTTCGAATTTCATGTAAATAAACAATGTATTTTACATGCGTTGTATACGACACTATGAGTCCCATATCGAACAGGACGCGGCGCGACGACTACTGCCCTTTAACTGGTACAATCAAATATTGATAGCAATGAAAGCAATCAAAAAAACAAAATGATATAACATACAATCATACATCTAAATTTAAAAATCCATTGATATTCAGAAAAATTCATTTATTATTTGTATGGTTTGATAATATCAGTTTAATTTTAAAGTGTGTTTTTGATCTTTCTCTTGCAGAGGTGCTACAACTTATGTTCATGTATTTATGACTGGAGTTCCTGTAAGTATGTTTGTATTTTTCACATAATGGAACTTCAAATCCATATAAGTTACTTAATATTAGATTACTATGAGCACATCATTTTATTTGTGCATATTCATTCTGTAATAATCTCATTGATACTTGACTTGTCTGTTGTTGACTCGTCTGACTTTGTTTCGTAGAGGGACTGTGTTTTGTAGAAACTTACAGGTTTCGTTTGTCATTGGAACGCTCTTTTTCCGATTTTTTTTCCATGCCATTTTTTAAAATAAACTTGGTCAATACAAAATAAATGAACAGTAATATATAGTAGAGAAAAGCGATGCGATGAACTATCAGTAACTAGTGAGTGCATCCGGTCATTTGACCGGACGTGTACATGCGATGTTTCTTTGCGGGATTATGCTAATTACAAATGTTATTGTTTTGGCTCAGAGGGGCTTAGCTGAAGTGTACATTCTCAGGATTTCCGTTACTTGTAAAAAAATTTTATTTTTTAAAAAGTCGTTTTTTCTTGAAATAAAAACATAATTTAAGAAAAAAACAAGGTCCTATGGCTGCCTATAGGTATAAGTCATCGTTTAATAAAAGAAAAATCACCACGAATGTCTACTACATCCTTAAACACCAGCAATTATAAATTGCTATGAATATTGATAAAATAGTATGTGTTTCCATTTTCCTTTTCTGAATTGTTTGATCATTTTTGCCTTGTTTCTATCTTTGTACATAGAATATATGACCATTGCATCATGTTTTACATATTATTGCCGTAGGATAATTAATATATGGCTTATAATGGACACCAATATGGCTGTCTGACTGATTACTTTCATTTTAGGGATTACTTCTTTTCCTGCTGTTATCCAAGTACCTATTAACTCAGAGCATTGTAATATCAGTTATGCTAATTACCATTGTATGTGTAATACTGGGCATTCCTATTCACTATGTATTGATATTAGTGCTTGATTTGGGCATTAGGTATGTATACTGAAAATATGTGTGTGCAGGAATGAAATGTTTAATAAAATCTGTGAGATTTAATGATGTATATTGGTATCTGCAGTTAAACCTATGTATACTTGATCTTGCATCATAGTAAATCAATAAACATAATTCGCCCAGTACCCATGCAGGTCAATTAAAAGATCGGGAGCAAACATAACATATACTTCAATATAGTTTTGATGTTAAACTTTCCATTTTGAACCCGATTAATAGCCATCTGAGGTGATGTTTCATTATACTATGGGTATAACCAAATAGGTAGCTATAGATGTAGCTGTTGTACAAATCAGATTCACAATTAATGACTGACTGGTGGCCATATTGCTTCAATGAATGCTCTTTCAGAGACATGGCTTTATCAATCATATTCAAACTTCACAAATACATCATGTACATGATGTGATTCATTTGTTTTGTGATAAGTTATTCGCGAGGGCTGAATGAAAACCATTTTCAAAGTCAAAATACATCAAAATCACACACAGCTTTTCACACAGTCTGGAACCAGTTTAAATCAAACTTCACATGTATACAAGACATCATGTCAAGTTCTGATACATAATGGCTGCATGGCTAGTTTCAGTTTTGTTTATATTTTTACATGACGGCTATGCCATACGTTATACATCTAAAGCATATTCATCTAAAGCTCACAATGTTTCAACATATCTCATTTCAGTGGCGCTGCTTTGGCTCACTCATTGGTGTGGTGGCTCATTTCTATCACATTATTTGTTTATATAAAAATCAGAAAATTACACAAATCAACATGGGCAGGTAAGGATATAATGTGTTTATTTAAATTTACGGATTTCTTGTACCTCATGAAGTCAATCCATATTCCATTTCTTGGTCTGTCATTACTATTTCTATAGGTTGGTCTTACGAGTGTCTTAATGATTGGGATGTTTATGTGAAGATATCCTTAGCTGGAATTTTGATGATTGCATCTGAGTGGTGGGCCTTTGAAGTTGGTACTTTTCTAATGGGTAAGTCCTTCCTATTTCAGGACCTATATGTACAAGTCGGGACCTATATGTACATGTGATATGAAATACTTTACAGGTTATTCTGTGACTTATTATCATAATATTCTGATGTTAATTTTACTTATCATTATGATAATAAATCCATTACATATTTTTGGGAGAGTTTGTGAAATGTTTTTTTTTCTCGTGTTGTTGCATGGGAAAGCGATCCCATATAAATTTATCACTTCACTTGCGTATCACTCAACACCAAAGCCTGTGTGTACATTTTCCACAATCAAACATTTCAATGGTTACAGAGAAGAGTTCATGGCATTTTATGATGCTGTGTTCGTCAAATTCAAATGATATAAATGTATATATTTTAATTAATTTGTCTAGTACAGTGCAATTAATGACACTAGTCTGAAATTGATAATTACTTGTAGTAATTAATGATCATTTTAAATTTCATTGTGATAAGAAAATGTTGTTAAAATCAGTTAGATGATGACCACAAGAAACTCTTAAGGTTTGGTAAGCAATTTTAGTTCTATTGCCATAAATTTTCCCAATTTTTCACAACAGTGTCTGTGATGTCATAATTTATCCATTTTTGGAGAATCAAGATGTTGGATTACACACTGATGATCAAAGGAATGAAAAGTGATATAAAAAATGTGAATTGCATTCTCCTACATTTGTTCAACTTTTTAGTCTCCATTCGGACACAGTCCGAAAACGGGGACTTATGGATTGGCCTCTGTGCGTTAGTGTGTCCGTGCTTGGACCTATATATTTAACATGCCTGGACTGATTACATTCAAACATACATACATCGTACATAATATTATACATAGACACATCAATTTGTTCCATGAGTTGACTCAAGTAGGCCGAATGGCGGCCATTTTTATGACATTATGGTATGGGACCTTGATGCACGTCATTTTGTATTTCACGTTGGATTCAAAACGGATTCAAGACTGGCAGCCATTTTGTTTTAATGATTGCAGTTTTAGTGCCATATTTCTGCCATGCTTTGACTGATTTTGTTCAAATTTTATATATTCATTATAGATCATGTCATAGATATATATACAGATATATTGGTTTGACTATCTGATTCAAAATGACTAAATGGCGGTTATTTTTGTGCTAACAACCAAGTATTTCTGGCATTCCGGAACATATTATTTTTCAAATCGGATTCAAAATGACAGACTGGTGGCCATTTTGTTTTAATGAATGCAGTTCTAGAGCTGTATCTCTAACATGATTTGACGGTTATGTTCAAATTTTATATATTCATTATACATCTCCCAATACAGACAAGTACTCATTTGATGGTCTGATACAAGATGACAGAATGTCAATCATTTCAATGTTAGAAAAAATCATCATAATAAAACATCTGTTTCAGCTTCTGGATCTATATCTCAGCCATGTTCATGTTCCAACTATATTACTATAAACAAAACTATATATCTTAAGTTTGATAACTAACCGGGACTGTGCCATGCATGGCTTGTTAGTCCCCGTTCAGACGCAGTCCGAAAACGGGGACTTATGTTTTGACCTCCGTGTGTCCGTGCGTGCGTGCGTGCATCCGGACCTGTATCTTAGAAATGCCTGGACCAATCACAATCAAACCTCACACATACATCATACATGATAGTATACATATGCACGTCAATTTGTTTCACGATCTGATTGAAGATGGCTGAATGGCGGCCATTTTTGTGCTAAAAATCATCAAAACAAGCATTTCTCAGCTGTTAACAGATGGATTTTGTTCAAAGTTGGTATATACATTAGACATTATAGGACCTTGATGCACATCATTTTGTTTTACGATCTGATTCAAGATGGCCGAATGGCGGCCATTTTTGTTCTAAAAAATCATCAAAATCAAGCATTTCTCGGCTGTTTACAGATGGATTTTCTTCAAACTTGGTATATACATTAGACATTATGGTACCTTGATGCAAATAATTTTGTTTTTCAGATAAGATTAAAAACGGCCGACTGGCGGCCATTTTGTTTTAATGAATGTGGTTCTTGTGCCATATCTCTGACTTGCTTTCACTGATTATGTTCAAATTTTAAATATTCATTATACATCATGTCATAGATAGACAGATATATTGGTTTGACGATCCTATTCAAAATGGCCAAATGGTGGCCATTTTTGTGCTAAAAAATCATCTATTATCAAGCATTTATGGATGAATTCCGTTCAAACTTGGTACATATGTTAGACATTACAGGTTCCTGATGCACATCATTTATTTTTCAGATCGGATTCAAAATGGCTGTCTGGCGGCCATTTTGTTTTAATGATTGGGCTTCTTGAGCCATATCTCTTAAATGCTTTGACAGATTATATTCAAATTTTATATATTCGTTATACATCATGTTATATATATACATGTATTCAAAATGGCTGATTTTGAATGCTGTTCCAGAGCAATATCTCTCAATAAGTACTTTTTTGACGATCAGATACAAATGTCAATCATTTTAATGTTAAAAAATCATATTCCTGACATGGTTATATTCCAGCTATATTACTATATAAACAAAACTATATATCTTAAATTTGATAACTAACGAGGACTGTGCCATGCATGGCTTGTTTATCTAGGATCATTATGTTGTTAGCCCAGACTTCCCTTTTAACTAATTGTTTCATTTTAATACAGGCACAGTAGGTGACACTGAACTAGCAGCACAGGGAGCGGTATTTGGTCTGGCATATTTCTTTTATACTGTAAGTTTATGACATATCACATGACCATGGTGCTTATCATTCACAGTTTGACATTTAGTGTGAAATATTGTTGCTGATAGGGTACTGTTAACATTCTAGTTAGAGTAAACATCATAATTTTGTGTGTTCAAACACAATACATCATTACAAATCATGTTGTGGTACTATTATGATTATAGTAATACAAGAAAACAGACTAAATAAAAATTATACATGGTGCCCCTGTCACCCAGGGTCCAGATAGGTGGTCGAATTTCTAGAGTAGACACAATTTAAGATTTGGTATTCCACATACTTCATGAGTTTTACATAATTTAATCAGCCAGTGTGTAGCTTTTCTGAAAATGTCACTATACTATACATACATATTATTAATTATATCAACTTATTTTTGTGAATTAAATTGCTTTCACATTGTATGTCTTTGCATAACAAGCAAAATATGTTTGTACTGCAAATGTCAATGTATTAATTGTAATTTTAGATACCATTAGGATACAGTGAAGCAATCTCCATAAGGGTTGGAAATACTCTTGGTGCTAATGAACCACACAAAGCTAGAAGGGTTGCAATAGTTGGTGTTATATCCATGAGTAAGTTTGCGATACTATAGTCTGTCGTAATTTAACATGGGACATTGTTCTCATGTAAGATAATAAAAATACTGCGAATTATGTACAATAACTTAGTACAATGATTGTATATGGACTGACACAATAATTTAATGAGTGATAAAAGCTTTCGTTCAGTGATGACACTATCTATTTCCATCATATGCTTTTGGACTTCTGTCTCCCATTTAAACTAAGTGTTTGAATGTGATGTTGATTGCTTGAAATATTTACAACGTAGATAAAACGTTTTACAGAACAGTCAATTCTATTTGGTGCCAAATGTATAATAATATATTATAAATATCATAAAAGTTTTTTTTTTAAATTATGTCATTTGATTTTGATCTTGTCATGAAACTTCCTCCATGTACAACCATATTTGTTGAGACAACCAAAGCTAGGGTACTGGTTAATCACGTCTACATGTTCTCATCTAATAGTGGATGAGATGGTACATGATATAGTAATAATAATTTGTCATTAATCTTTAGTCATCAGCTCAGTATTATTTGCCATTATTATCATTGCAAGCAGGGATGTCATTGGTCTTTTATACACAAGTGAAAGGTGAGTTCATACTTTATACAATAGATGAGTTTTGAGTTGCCAGGTTGCTACATTAAATTATGAGTGATGGAAGATAGGATAGGGTGGAGCTTCAGTGGGAGTGGAGGTTCAGTAGTCAGTTGGTTTGTACCCAGACATTTGTGTTACCATTTTTTTCTTAGTTTGATTCCTTTGCTGTTGCTCCATAGAGATTTATCACAATGGACAGACTAATACAAAGATACAATAATAGATAATACATGATAACATAACTAAATGTTTGTATGAACAAAAATATGTTTCTTATATTTTGTAAACATTCAAAGGCAATCTACATGCATCTAACATGTAATCATTACAAAATTGAAACTTTATTTTTTTAATATCTGCCTGAAACTAACTGCATATTACTGATGTTTATTAATGCTGCTACCCATTTTCGAGATAGGCATTTAGCAACGATTAATGTTCGACTTAATATGGCTGAGAATAAAAACAAATCTATGTTCACAATACTGAATTTGTTCTATAAATTCTTTTGCATCTTTGCAGAGAGGTGGTTGTTATGATTGCTCAAGTAGCTCCATTGATGGCAGTCTACCAGATATTTGATGCTATAGGTGTAAGTATCACGTTAGTTTACAGTATTTAAATGTTCTAATCATGCGGGAAATCGTATCTTGCTTGAATTTTGTAATGTGTAACAAATGGTATGTTCATTCTTGGAATTGTATGCGGATCTGGCACATGCGCAGATATCATTGTCAACAGTTGTTTCTGTATTCTATGTCAGTTTATTTGTAGTTTTTATTTGTAGTAATTTTGATCTTTCATATGGGTGATTGTCATCGCATCTGCGTCAACTTTTTACCTTTTCAACTTCTTGAAAACTACAAGCTTGATTGCTTTGATACTTGGCGTATGTTGGTGATGTACCTTGGGTAGATATCACTTAGCTTTGGTTATTTCGTGACAATATCGTTAATTATCTAATTTTTATGAATATTGTTTTGTATATTTTGGTAAAAAATTATATTTTTGACTTGTTAAAAACCGCAAATCTGATTGATTTGATATTATGCACATAGATACTACAGGTGAACCTTACTCAGATTTGTTCATTTTGTGATGATATATTCAATTCTTTGAAATCAATTTCAATTGAAATCTGCATTGCAGAGCTATCTCAGCCGAGTGGCTGTTTGTCAAACTTGGTTGAAAGTTCAGCATCAGTGAAGCAATTGTAATCATAGATATCTTTGTTCAATTTCAGGTATCCTAAACTGGTAAATATAGAATAATCTTTGGTACTCACAAATTATCTGATCATAACACACATTTCAGAATTTTTTTTTGTAATGTAGATGGCATCATTGGGAGCTTTACAAGGATGTGGACTTCAGAAAGTTATTGCTATTGTTAATTGTGTTCTGTATTACATTGTGTGTTTGCCCATTATGTTTGTACTGGTATTGGTATATCATATGGGAATATTAGGTGAGTGTTGTTATTTTGAGAGAATATATACAGACATTAGAAGAATATTATGATATTAATATTCATATGTTTACGAAATTACTCCCTTTTATAAAATATTCCAAAATACCCAATTCCACCAATAAAGGATGGTAGTTGTCGCGCCACGCATGTGCAAGATCTTGGACTCATATGAACAAAGATGGCGACTTTGACTGTTGGGCGAACCAAAGAGTACAGACTGAGACGTTACCAGGCTTTAATTAGATATTTTGTAGATGATTGGAAAGTATCCAAGTCCAATTGGAATTAGTCCAAGTCACGCCTAGGTCAAACCTCATACTTGCAATTTCCATTAGAAGAGCGCATTGGATTGTGGGAAAATCAATGTTTATCAACACAAACGTTGCACATGCCTGGTGCGACGACCACCGACATTTATATATTTCACCAGCCTCATTATTAGTAAGAGTAATGTTTGATATTTGTTTGTGTCTTCAAAATATGTTTGCTTTATACTGACTAGCTATATCAGCATTTGTATGATATGTTGGTGTGTTGGAGAGACACATTCATTATAATTGAATTACAGTTGTACCTCTACCATACTGGCCATTAAAGTTATAATGAACAATCTCTAATATACTAGTCTGTGTGAGAGGGTCATATTTTATAGTAATATTAACCAATCACAGTGGCATTTCCAGTATACCTCATTTGAGAGGTACATACATTATAATGACCAAACAGAGTAACACCTTTATTATACTGTATTGTTTCGGAGATACTTGCAATATAGAGCTATATTGGCCAATCAGAGTGTATCTCTGTTATTCTGGTCCGTCTACGAGGTACGTACATTATAGCCATAATGTTGCACCTTCAATATGCTGGTCAGTTTTAAAGTCAAATACGTCATTGTTATAACGGCCATTCAGATTGATATTTCTGTTACAGTGGTTCATTTGAACGATACATACATTATAGTAATATTGGACAATCATATTTACATCATTGTTGCACTGGTTCAAATGATAGATACAAACATCGTAGTTTAATGACCATTTGTCTACCGAGACTATACCATGGAATTTGAAACCTGACTGATATCATTGTTTTACTATTTGATGTGTTTCTTAGGAGTGTGGATTCCTCTGGTAATCGTCTTAGTTTGTAAGGGACTGCTTCTTGTATTTGTTGTATTCCGGCTGAATTGGCAGAAGCAAGCAGATAAGGTATGGGAGTAAAGTGTTTGTTTATATTCACAAAATATTATATTTAGCTCTAGAAATTCAGGTTGATTCTGTTGATAAAATCAACATTTAAATATATCAGCATTACGATATACCTTGCATACTATTTTATTTGGTGCGTAAGAGTAACCTATTTTGTAATTGTGTTATATGACATCATATCAATGTGTCAGAAGTTCTGTGGTTGGGGTTGTTCAAAATGGCAGAATAAACATGTCAATATTTTTTATGTTTCACATGCTCCTTATTGAGTGGATCACAGTATGCCAGCACAGTGTGTTTACATTCTTTTTAGCTCTGCTGTCGACTTTGTCGAGTGGAGCTTATCATATGAGTGATTGTTCGTTGTCGTCTGTCGTCAGTGTTAATGTTTTACTTTTTCGACTTCTTCTTGAAAACTACAAGCCTGAATGCTTTGATACTTGGTGTATATGTACCTTGGGTAGACCTCTCTTAGATTTGTTCATTTCATGATGATATCTTTAATTCTCTAATTTTGGTTAATATTTTTGTCATTTTTGGTAAAAAGTGACATTTTCGACTTCTTGTTAAAAAGTCCAATTGTTTTGATATTACATATATAGGTACTACATGTGGACTACTCCCAAATTTGTTCATTTTGTGATGATATCTTCAATTCTCTAATTTTAGTGAATATTTTTGTAATTTTTGGTAAAAAGTTATATTTTCGACTTCTTGTTGAAAACCGCAAGTCTGATTGCTCTTATATTACATATATAGGTACTACATGTGGACCTCTTTCAGATTTGTTAATTTTGTAGTGATATCTTCAATTACTTAATTTTAATGATTATTTTTGTCATTTTTGGTGAAAAGTGATATTTTTGAATTCTTGTTGAAAACAGCAAGTTCTGTTGCTTTGATACTATACATATTCTTCATTTTCTAATGATATCATCTGTTCTTTAATTGAAATGTACATTGCCAACAGCAGAGCTATCTCAGCCGACAGGCTGCTTGTCATATAACCTCTGTTATTGTTGTGTTTTTTCAGGCACAAGAAAGAGCCAATGTTAATAGAGATAATACATCTGATAGTGTGCCACAATTTGTGGGTGTTAACATGGACCAGATAAAGATTGAGCACAAAAATTCATATACACAGACTGGTCTTCCAACAAGCGCAGAAGTTACCATAGTACCTTCAGATAACTACTCTAGTAATAACGGCAGAAATTCGACCTATAGCTTTGTAGAACAGAATATGGAACAAACTAATCAACCGTCTTTGAAGACACTTATATGGCGACGGATATTTACATTGCTATTTGCATTAACACTATTAGGAATAAGTGTGGCTGTTCAGTTTCTGGTTGTCATTCCTCCAATCAGTGATCCTATAAATAATTGCTTTTCTGCAAATATGACTGACTCCATGTATAATATCAGTATTATTAATGGTACTAATATATGCAATGATACACTTACATAATTAGCTATAAAGCTTTATTTGTACCCTCAAATTCAAGTGATTTAATTTTTTGAAATCATGAAAATAAGGAAAACAGTACTTAGTGATTTTTTAAAAATATATCTGGGGAGTGTCTAAGTTTTTTTAATGAAGGTAAATGGTAAATTGAGGCGTTCATATGCACATGTTCACTGTCGAATTTTAACTTGACATTGTATTATGTAAAATTACTGTAATGTAGTAATCTGAGATATATTTAAGCTTTTGTTGAGATTTTTTTTATATCACAAGTATCAGATTATTGTATAATTCACTAAGTATACTTTGTATAAAACAATATTTTAAAGAAAATTGCGTGTTTTGTGTAAGACGTGAGTTGGGGCACAGCAAGAACCACCCCATAATTTAATCTAGAACTCTTTGTTGAATCATGGACGTCTCTAGTTGAATATACCTGGACACCACTAATGATAATTTTCAAGTTAGATTTATTTTTATTGGCGACATATAGGAATCGAACCCTGTATCTTTTAGATAAGTTGGGGAGGTCGCTCTACTGACTTAGTTAAGTTGGTGATTTTTAAAGGCATGCAGTGAATGACACGTGACAAATAAATGCGTGTATAAACTGTGTCACGTCATGTACATCCGCGTATTTTTGTTTCACTCGCATTGCATTGTTTATCTACACTGAAACGGGCACATAACGTGTGGGCTGAATGTAAAGCGAGCAGTTCATTCATGTGTGTATGTGTTCGGTGCAAGTAAGGGACCCCGCCCCTCAATGTTTCTGGCTTTAGAATCGCCTCTGGTTATGTTGTAATTGTTATATAGAATTCATCATGTAAATCTGATTGTTCAACAAATATGGCTTGTGATGCACAAGATGTAGAGTGTGATGAACGTCCTAATGAATAAATTTTGATTAGTTTAGCAAGTTAATACATGTCCCGATCACATCTTAATATATTTTGTACATAAATGGCATAACGGCAGATTATAAATTACCTGACATTAAAATATTATGACGATGTACAGCATTTACTGGGAAGTGTATTAAGCTGAGATGTTGAAATTTGAGTCAATACGAAACCACCAGGTTGTTTTGACAAATGCTTTGAATATCATACGGCACAATAAATGTGCTGATCTCAAGTACATTCCGGTCAGTTTCGCGATTTTTCAGCAAAATGTTACTTCTTTGCAGCCTATTTACCCAACTTTCATGTGTTTTTATTTGACATTACCCTGCTTTTATAAATTTTAAGAGAATTTTCCCCTCTTTCCAAACAACTTTTGAACCTAAATCCAATTTTAAAACTAACAATATATGCTTCACGTAACTTACTTTACCGTGGACTTTTTATGAATTTCCATGCCAATTGTACGACTTTCCATCTAACTGTAACTACTCTTCAACCTAATTCCATGGGTATACAGCAAACTTTACCTACTTTTCCAGCCACCTTTCAAGACTATATTCTAACTAAATGTTAAGACTTAGACTTCCACCGATCTCTACAATATTCTTGCAGACTTTAACTTTTTACTGCTTTCCAGCCAACTTTTTTTGATTCACCAGTCAAATTTTACAACTTTTCAACAACTAATTTTAAACTAATTACACAACTGTCCACCACATTTCTACTACTTTCCCGGCGCTTTTGTTCTCTTCTTTCAACTAAAAACGTTTACTACTTCCCAAGGCACTTTTTTAATCTTCCTATCTAAATTTGTTGATTTTCAAACCAAACTTTTAATTTCAACCCCTTACATTTACGAACAATTTTTTGTCAACTTTTACAATTTACCACCATACTTGCACTACTTTGCAGCCACTTTTGAGATTCTTCAACCATATTTTATGACTGCTTATGTGTTCTTTCTTACCAACTTTTCAGCCAATTAACACGACATTTAACCACAATTTCCTACATTCCAGTCGACTATTACGACTAAACTCCAAACTTTCATGACTCTTCAAACAACATTTACCAACGTTCAATACTTTGTACCAAATTTTTCAACCACTTTTCAGCCAGATTTTACAAATCTCTACGAAACTTATGGATAACACATAAATGTCAAAAGCAAAACTAATCATGACATGAAAACTGAACTCTGTGGGTGAATGAGCACAATGTAATATTTCAACAGCCCTAGCTACATTTAGTGTAGTGTCAGTCAGTCTCGTATAATGCTTCTGTCACTGATCTGATCAAGGGCGTTTGGCAATATGTTCATGGATCAGAGATACATTCTGATTTGAAAGATTTAAAAAAATAATATTTGTATTAAATATACACACAAACTAGATACTGCGCCATTATATCTATATTTAATGTTATTATCGATTTGACACGTATTAGGTAAATTGAGAAAGTCGTAAGTTATCAATAGCGGCGTACATGAGAGTTGTAAAAAACAAGCCGGTAGGCTGGTTGGCGATCCGCTCCGCTCAAAAGCAAGCACCATGTTTTTGGCTGTTTCCATGGTGTGACATAAACGTGAAGCTAACGTCGGTTTATAACTAATACGAAGTTCGCAAACACCATTCAGTTTTTGGAAGTCACTTAGTTTATTACTAGGACCACAATCACTCTCCTAGTCGAGTGACTGTGCTAGGACGTATTCTGCTGTTACATTTATTATTTCCAACCGTTTTGCGATAGCATTTTCTAGAATGAAGCGTTTCTTGTAAATGCTGGAAAGCGAAATAATGAAATAACGAGATGGTAAATATTTACCTAAAGTACAGTGTGTTGACCTTCATAATAATATACTTCATAATGCAAAACATTAGTCACGGCGAGTTATTTAAATATACGACTCCTAATCGAAAAATATGACCACAGTCCAGAATTTCAGACAGATATTAAGAAACCTAAGAGCATATCAAAAGCATTTACTCTAAAATATAAAAAAGAACTGCAGTCAAAAATGCCAGCAAATAAAGGACTCTGCCCCACAATCCTTTGTGCGCGTTATTACGGACACGCGCAAAAAACTGTACCACGCTTGTCAAATCTGGGTCAAATAT